AGCTCAGGCAGAGGTGAGAACCAGAGGGTAGAGGAGAGAGGGGGAGAAAGAAAGAGAGAAAGAGAGCAAAGAAGCAGAAACAAAAGCATAAAACGACTAGTGGGGGTGAGGGGGAGAGAGAGAGAGAGAGAGAGAGCACAATTAAAATTGGAGCTGTTTGTGAAATAAGCAGAAAAGATATTAGTCATTAGTTGTACTCACGGTCCTTAGCAAATTATCCATCACGTAGAATTTTCTTTTTATTTTATTTAATTAATTAATTTATTTATTTAAGAGAGAGTGAGTGAGCTCAGGAACAGAGGGGACGAGCAGAAAGAGAGGGAGAAATAGACTCCCTACTGAGCAGAGAACCCATCACGGGGCTTGATCCCAGGGGCCTGGAATCACGACCTGAGCTGAAGGAGATGCTCACCTGACTGAGCCAGGCTAGAGCAGGATGAGAAGAACCCTATAGGTCCTTTCCTTAGCCATCAGAGCAGGTCTACTGACAGTTGTCCAGATGCTAAGATGTTGAGGTAGTCTGAGGACTCTGTTTATAGATCATGACCTCAAGCACACTAAAAAGGCTTGTGATGAGATGTCTTAAATATTGGAAAGAAAATGTCTTTTTTTTAAAATAAATTAACTTAGATTGAAAATAAAATCTAGTTCTGCATTTTATATCAATTATTCACCTAGGGTCATTTTTGACTTTCAACCAGCAGCCAGTGTATTATAGTTCCATTAACCTGTTACCAAGAGAATTTCTTCTGCAAATATTGTGGGCAAAGTGTGTGTATGCGCACATTTGCTGTGTGTGTGCACATGAGTAAATAGGGTATGGAAAGGAGATAAAGACCATTTGGTCACCTTTTTCCTGTATCATTTGCTTGCATAGGAAAAAAGGAGATACATCAAGACTGGCCTCCTTGAAAGTCTAAAATTGTCTCCCTGGAAATTATCTTTGCTTTTTAAATAGTTGCTTATGCCTTCGTTACTTAACCCTTCTTCAGCTCAGAAAAAATAAAATATGTTGAAATATAAAAAGACTAAAGCTTAGTTTATGAAAAGCTGAAAATTTTATTTAACAACCCAAGATTTTAGAGTTAAATCAGTAATTTTTGAAAAGTAAACCAAACCTTCAATTGAGGTCTGGTTTTCCTTTTTTTTTTTCTTTTCTTTCTGTTTCTGGAAATATGTCTACCATTTATTATTCTTCATTTGTAAACAAATTCGGTATATTTTAGTAAACAACACAAAGATATTAGTTTTGTCCAACCACAAAGTTAACTTTGCACTGATTAAGAACATTCTGGTGTAACAAGTTTAGGGAAATTTTAAAGTTGAAAAATTGTACTGTCAAATTCAGTGGGGTGTTCTAGTTCAACAGAAAAGTAATATGTTTTCCTGATAGCTAATTGGACCAATTTGAATAACATACCTCTCTGTATCAAATAATTTGGCCAAGGGATTAGAAATGTCAATGGATATCCAGTTTGGATCTCTGGGTAGAATTAATAAACCTATATACTATGGAATAAAGTGTTAGAAGGAAGGTTTTATCAAAGAAAATTGTGTGTGCTGCTATCCAAAGAAAGTAAATGAGTAGTAGATGGCAAATAACACAAATATTCTAACAAAAGCATTGATAAAATATTTTTTCCTAGTTTCTCCATTTGCTATTGCTAAAATCAGCAAAATTTAAAAAAAAATCACATTTCTTTGTTTGCTGTGGCAGTGAGGGTGAAGAAGGTGCCAGAAGAAATCACAGCAAAGACTTCGCCTGTGTCTCTCCCTGCTTCGATATAACCCTCCTCCATTTGCCTTAGGAGTAGCATGATTCTGAAATACCGTACCAAATGCATAAGCAGTCAATGCAAAACCAGCACTTCTGAAGAGTAACTGAAATGAATGAATGGCAAATCTTCTTTTGACATTTCTATTACCTTTCTGTCTTCCATTAATTTTACTCTTCCTCAGTGTGAGATGATAAATATTGATGTCAACAAGTTGCCATCTATTTCCATCTCCGAAGATGTGCCATTTATCAGTCTTCTGCTTATGATCCAACTGATGCAAGATCTACCCACCAGGAAAAGGATAATTTATCATAAAAATAAAGAATGGAGTTCATTCAAAGTAAGACTTCAGGGCTAGTGACTAAGATCAGTGTTCCCTTATATGTTTTCAAATAGCTTTTGTTGACCAGAGAGAGACTAATGTTCTAACAGTTTTAATTTTGAAGGCAAGCTTTGAAATAAATTGACAATTCATTGGCAAAAATTTCAAGACACACAGCTCAGGATCCTGAGCAAAAATATAAACTTTGGTTTTATAAGACAATGGTTAAGAAAGTAGTTAAATTAGGTAACTTTTTTTACTGATTCATTGATCATTAATTCTTTTTCAAATCTTGAGTATCCATCTGATTCTGCAAAATTTTTTCTAATTTTTATGTCTCTTTTATGACAAATAGGGTGTGACCTCTACTTTTATGGCCCGGCTCCCAACTGGATGATAGCTGAATGGGATGGAGCTATCCACGTGAATAATGCCCCCAGAACAAGAATCCAGAGAACGCTGGTGAAATAAAATGTTAGCAGGCCTGAAGGATTTTGTAACTGAGTTTATCAGACCTTCAGCAAATAGTTAGTCCTCATTTGATATAACTGTTTGAAGAAACAGGGAAATTAAGGAAGCCTGTCTAACTCATTTTGCGAGTACATGGGTATAACAAACCTGGAGAATGAAAGTGTAAGAAATCGTTGGACCAATTTCACTCTGAACATCAATGCAAAAATCCTAGTGACATATTATCTTGCTGAAACCATAATGTATCTGAAATATGTTATAACCATTCAAGATGAATTCCAGATGTGCCAAAGTTATAGCAGACATTAGACCAATATTATCCACTATATTAATAGATTAGATGAAAGAAATAATTGAAAGATAAAATGAGAGAATGCTGAAAGTAATTTCTTACTCAGATTAGCCAATATTTAACAGTCTGACAATAGCAAGCCTTGTCCAGGCTGTTGGAAAGAGCTACAACTCTTTTACTTGCTGGTAGAAAGATAATTGTAACACTGCTCATACACAATTTTTTAATACCTTCCTTTAACCCAGGAATTCCATTTCTATGCACTCAAGGAGATATGCTTAGGAATGTTCAAAGTATAACTCTTTTTTTTTTTTTTTCAAAGATTTGATTTACTTCCTTCCTTCCTTATTTGACAGAGAGAGAGAGAGAGCAAGTGAGCACGAGCAGGGCGAGCAGCAGAGGCAGAGGAAGAAGCAGGTTCCACGCTGAGCAGGGAGCCAGATGTGGGGCTTAAGCCCAAGACTGGAACCATGACTTAAGCTGAAGGCAGATGCTCAACTTAATGAGCCACCCAGGCCCCCCCAAAGTATAACTCTTTATAATAGCAGTATCGGAAAAGAAGCTAAAGATCCATGACCAAGGGATGCTGAAATGTGATATGCTGGTATAAGCGGTTATGTGATCACTAATATGAGTCTTCCCAGTGTATGTATTTCAACAAGAGTAACTCTCAGAAACAACTTTTTTCAGAAATGACCAAAAAAAAAAAATTGCTGAGCAATTCAAACTATAGATTAATATTGACGTGAAGGATAAAAGGCACACCAGTCCTAAGATTTCATGGAGCTATTTGTATGCAGACTTTGTAGAAAGAAGTGGTCAGAAAGAATCCCTACTAATGTCAGGATATTGATTACCATTAAGGAGACAATGAGGGTTGGACAGGTATGGGTAAATGGACTTTAACTCAGTGTGCAATGCTTTATGTCTTAGATAAAGTCTGAAGCAAGTAAGATAAAATGTTACTGTTATATTTTAATTCTGGGTGTTAAATCAATGATGAACATTGCTTTATTCTATGGATTTTCTGTTTATGAGAAGTAGTTCATAACAAAACTATTAAAAATAATCTAAAACCCACATAATAACTTACATGAGCTTTGGAAATGAAATAAATTATACCACCATTATTGAGTATATTATAGTTAAAGGATTCAGGAAATAATTCCCTATTGACTGCCAAGCTCTTAGACTTCTTCTGACCTCCATTGAAAAGATACAGCCAACTGCTGCATGATCACTTGGCCCCCAGTGATCCCACAAATAATTTTCTTCCTCTCAAGAATGCTACCACTGTTCACTTTTCCTGATCAGATGCTTCCTCCTCAGTCCCTTTGATCCTTGCTGTTATTCTTCTCAACCCCTCATATCCAGATATTCATGAAAATCCTCTAAGTTCTGTGCATAAAATGTCTTCAGAACATAGCACCTAGTACTTCTCTCCATTACCACTAACAATGAATGACTTGGAGCCTAAACATTTTGCAGGTGAGTATTTAATATATATGTAATATATGTAATGTGTAATATATTCCAACTGACCCTCTTTTAAAGGTAAAATGACATTATAATATATATATTTCTATATAAATTGTATACATGTGTATTTATATACAGTATATATATGTGTGTGTATAGATATAGATATACACACACTGAGAGAATTATCTGTGTATCTTCCATACCTATTTACCCATCTATCAAGATTTTCCAAAATAAGCCTTACACTATTCCAGCACTATTTCAGTAATCTCAGAGTACCTTTTACTCCTTTTTAATAAAAAAAAAAAATGTGATTTGTAGCAAAAATCAAAGAGTTGCTAAATTTCAGGAAAAAAATTTTGTTCAACAGAGATAACTTCCTAACAACTGTTTTTTGCCACTATTAACAAGACAATTATGAAAGTTACGAGAATATGGATGCAGTTGGTGTTTTGACTGCAACTTGAAACATCTATTCATTTCTGTTTTCCCGTTCTCCCATTTCTCCATAGGTATATACTTTACTAAGCACTGTGTATATAGTACAACTTACTAGGTATATAATTAGTTTAAAATAGCACTTATAACTTGTGCTCTTTGTTTTGTATTGAAACTTTAGCATTTTAAAAGTTTATCTTTAAATTGATTCTATGTTAGCTTTGTGCAATGGCAGTATCGTAGCCAATGAAGTTTATCCGAAGCCGATTATTGCTAATTGAAATTGATTCTATGTTAGCGAGCCTTTCTCTTCCTGAGGGTTTGTTTTGTTTTGTTTTGTTTTGGTATGATTGCTTTTTGGACACCATTCCATTGCAACATTTCCCTCTTCCAGCTTGTGCTTTTCTGCATTGGGTTTTCCAGGTTATATTCTTCAAAATGCTTGTCGTTTGTCTTCTTAAAGTATTGAGTTGATGTATACTTTCTCTAGGGTCTCCTTTGTTACTACAATTCATCTTTGAATGGAGAAGATCTTTGTGATACTCTGTGCTGAGGAGTGGGCTGTGGTAACCCCAAGGCAGGTGGCAGCTCTGAATCCAATCCCTTTCCCTACCACCCCTGCTAAAATCATGTCATTAAATTTGTCATGTTCTTTGACTCTGGGCCATACTTTCTAAGGTTTGAGTTTCCAGGGTGGTTCCTACAAAAAAACGCCTAAGTATGGTGATTTCTGTTGTATTCTATATTCTTTACGAAGCCTTTTTAGATTGTAAGGGGAAAAGAGTTGCAGTATGAGTTCTAACTCCCCTAGACTCTAGCATGAACAGTCTATACGGACATTTCCTCACGTCTCCCAGGACCTGCCTGTGTTCCTCTTTCGATGACCTAATCAAGGGTATGTTTACAGCTTTACGAATTAAAAATGTCATTTCCTCTTAGACAAATCTGTTTTTGCCTCAAGTCTGAGAAGGCCTATATTGGTTCCCATTCTCTTCATTTTGGTTCAAAGATGACAGTGTGTGGGGGGTATATTGCGTAAGTGGATGGTTTCAAGTCCTGTTTTCAGCCTCGTTTCATCGAAGGAGGTAGTCTCCATTTTAATCATTTTTGCTGTTTTCAGTGACTTTTTGAAAGGGAAGCCTCTGGAAATCCATAGCAACAATTTCTCAGTCAGTCTTGGTGCTGCCAATTGACTTTTCATTACAGAATTTTCCCTGACTTGTAAGCTTGTATACCGACTCTGCTGTCAGTTCTCCTGAGAAGGCGTGCCACACCTCTCAGCTGCGGGCAACGTGCATCATTTTGCTCTAGGGAACCTTTCTATTTGTCTTTTATCTTTTTCCTTTAATGCAGCACTGTGAGAGTTAGTTCACACAATTTTCTTCATTTGTTGGTTAAATTTTCCATTTTTGCCTGGGATTCACTTGCATCTCTAGGAATTAGCATAATGCCTTAAAAAAAAAAAACCTCAGGAGCTCTGTGAGAGGAACTCAATGTTGTTATGAATTGTTTGAATGAATAAATTGCAGCGATAACCACGAGAACATAACCATGTAACTTTGCAGTAAATACGTAACAAGTGGCTATTATATACCAGGGATGTTTCTAGTGGCCAGAGATAGAGTACTGAGCAGCCCCATGGAGCTTGAATATTATGTAAGTATAAGAAAAAATCTGGCACCTGGATGGCTTAGTCAGTTAAGCATCCACCTTCAGCTCATGTCATGATCCCAGGGTCTTGGAATTGGGTCCCACATTGGGCTTCCTACTTAGTGGTGGGTATACTTCTCCCTCTACCCTTCCCCCCTGTTCATGATCTCTCTCTCTCTCCCCCAAATAAAGAAATAAAATCTTACAGAAAAAAGAACAAAGAAGCATACTGACACATACAGAAATGCAAGGACTATAAATCTTTTAAGACAAGTTTGTTATTTTACTCACTGATGGATACCCAACAATTAAGACAGTAGATACAATAAGTGTTGAATAAAATTTTATTGAATTAAAATTTAGGGGAAAGGTCAGGTAGTGGTGAGTGCCATGCAGATAATCTTATTGGGATGATATACTAATTTAGATGCTGTTTTATATTGTCTCCAGTGAATACTTTTTTGAGGAGATAACTTATTGGTTGAAATTTCATGCAAGACTCTCAAGGCATTTATTATTTGAAACTGAATCTCCCATAAGATTTTTAAAATTAATATATAATGTATTATTTGTTTCAAGGGTACAGGTCTGTGATTCATCAGTCTCACACAATTCATAACACACACCATAGCACATACCTTTTCCAGTGTCGATCACCCAGCCACCCCATCCCTCCCACCCCCCAAACCCCAGCAATCCTCAGTCTTTTTCCCAAGATTAAGAGTCTCTTATGGTTTATCTCCCTCCCTGGTCCCATCTTGTTTCATTTTCCCCCTTCCCCCCCACCCCCACCCTGCCTCTTAAATTCCTCATATCAGAGAGATCATATAATTATCTTTCTCTGATTGACTTATTTTGCTTAGCATAATACCCTCTACTTCCATCCATGTCATTGCAAATGGCAAGATTTCGGGGGGTTTTGATGGCTGCATAGTATTCCCCCCTAAGATTTTAAAGAAAAATCAAATTTTTAGATAACCATGTATGCATAAAGGGGCATGTCTTTTATCTATTTTTTTACTGCTACAAAAAGTAAAATAAGCAATGCTGTTTTGAAGTCTCTAAATGTACGAGGACTTGAAATATTTAAATTTAGAGAAATTTAAGGAATCAGGAAATAGGAGTTTCCAGTGTACAACTCAAGAACTAATGCTGGTGGGACTTGATTTATTCTCTTCCCTTCAACAACTTGTTAAAGACTCTTTATTTTAGATGTTTTAACTGCCTCTATTTCTATATTTTAACTATATCTTTCTAACTAAGAGCAGCCTAACATTTTTCATTTTTTATTTCTCTGTTTTTGTCTATATCAGTTGTCTTAACATCCCTATTGCAAATGCTGGCACAAGAATTGGTGTCCTGAATACCATTGACGGCCCCTTCCTATAAAGAGGTCTGATTTTGCATCTGAACATTTTTGTCCATTAAAAAGACTAAGGCTGAGTGGTTTAGGTAGAGTTATAATAAATGTTGCACTTGTAAAACCAATCTCTTTGGAGGCACATGAGACAACATTATGTTTGTGGAAAAGATGAGACCATCTGCTGTATTCACTGGATTGATGTCATGACCCCAGAATGTTCTATGGAGTCAGTCCTGTATTCCAGCAACACCATTATCCTGCTTCTGTTTGGCACAGGTACTTTTATTGTTGACCTTTAGATGACATTCTCAAAAACTAGATACATGTGTCAAATAATTATTGAAGCCTATTGTGGATTTAGTTTCCATAAGTGTTCCTACATCTTTTTTTCAAGTTTCCCATCAAAATAACTGTAATATATAATGTTAAATGCCCAGTGGCCTATCAGGTCAAGCATGTATGACAAATGTTAATATCCTGGGTGCAAAGAGTACATCTTTTTACTTTTTTCTCTGTAAATCTACCTATTTTGAGCTCTCTCTCCACTTTAAAAAAAAAATGGACACTTTTCATGTACTGGGTTCTACCTAAATAAGTGTAACCTTTATGTTGCAAATGGGGAAAGAAAGCCAGAAGGGATAGCACAAAAACATGACTGAGGATATCCAACTAGGAAACCCTTGGCAGGGGTAGGCTGCAGCCTTCAGTACTGGCATCCTTTTATTATAGTAACTTAGACTGGCTTTTAAAGAAAAAATGTATAGTCACCTTATCCATGCTCTTGAATCATATCTGCCATCATTTTAAAAATTTTTCTGAAAAATTCAGAATTCCTGAAGAATTCTGATTTTTTATTTTGGCTCACTTTATGTGGAAGCTTCTCCATGGAAATTTATCACTTTATCTTTTTCATTTTGTGCTTTTAATCTGTGTCCTTCATTTTATTTTTTGTATAAGAGAAATGAATTTAGACCACATATCTAGGGCTTGAGTCATAAACGTGGATAGGAAAATATTTCCTTCTTAAATTTTTATATAAAAACTTATAGTGTCTAATTCTTTTTTCTCTACAGCAGCGTATTTGCTTAACGTGTTCAGTTCTCTGGTATTGTCATATTAGTAACCTGTAGTAGTAACTCATACTCATTTTGATACAGATCTAAATGATATAGTGCAGTCACCTTGGCCTTGGACTGATTTATCAATTTTGTACCCACATAATCATTGACAGCTTGGCATTCTTTTTTACACAATAACAATCACATTGGTCTTCTTTCTTTCTTTCTTTTTTTAAGATTTATTTTCTTTATTTCTTTATTTTGCAGAGAGAGCACAAGTATTCAGAATGGCAGGCAGAGGGAGAGGGAGAAGCAGGCTCTCTGCTGAGCAGGGAGCCAAAAGAGAGGCTCAATCCTAGGACCCTGGGGTCATGACCTGAGCTGAAGGCGGGCACTTAAGCGATTGAGCCAGCCAGGTGCCCTACATTGTTCTTATTTCTTATAACAATTCTTCCTTTCCCATTGGCTCATTCTTGTGATCTTTTTCAACCTTATTTATTTATCATCCAACATAATCACCCCTGAATTTCCAAGAGAGATTTAAAGAAAGCACTATGTTTGGGTGAATAGTTAATTGGCATTTTCACAGCTCTACAATGCTGCAAACATTTTTTGTTGTTCTTCCAAACATTTTTTAAAAAATATTTATTTATTTGAGAGAGAGGGAGAGTACAATCCAGGGGGAGGGATGGGGGAGAGGGAGAAGTAGACTCCCCATGAAGTGCAGAGCCCAACGTGGAGCTTGATCCTGGGACCCTAGGATCATGAAGTGAGCCCAAGGCAGATGCTTAACCAACTGAGCCACCCAGGTACTTCTGCTGCATTTTTTTTTTTTTTTTGAGATTTTATTTATTCGTCAGAGAGAGAGAGAGAGAGAGCACAAGCAGGCAGAGTGGCAGGCAGAGGCAGAGAGGGAAGCAGGCTCCCTGATGATCAAGGAGTCTGATGAGGGACTCGATCCCAGGACCCTAGGATCATGACCTGAGCCAAAGACAGCTGCTTAACTGACTAAGCCACCCAGGTGCCCCTGTTGAAAACATTTTAACATGCATTTCTCTCTCGTTTCTCTTAAGGTTGTGAAGTTTCTGGTTAGGTAATGTTATCTCAGTTTGCAGACGACAAGATGGGGGGGGTCAAACTGTGTAAGTGACTTAATATCGTATAGTGTATAAGCCCAAATAATCTGCCCCTACACCATATCACTACACGTCTCTTCATATTCCCTTCTTACCCACTAGTCAGACATCAGAAGACTTAATTGTTGCAGAATGCTAAAAAATAGAT